ACTTCTTGAATCCCAAAAAGCAACTCTTGTAGAATCCCCACTTTAAGAAACCTTTCATTCTTGAGAAACCTACTCAAGAAATATAAAGTATAACAAGGAAAGGTATCCCCTGATGTACAAAATAATATGAACAGGTGAAAAGACTAAGCCATTCAGCCATAATTCTTCAAGTAGATTGATGATGGTGATTCAACTCTCTTGATTCATGCTAGAGGTTCCCACAAAGGGTAACACATCTCTCTTATTAAGAAAAATTAGCTCAAAGCTCCCTCAATTATTTATAATTCGTAAAAGTTCAATTCTCTCTAAGTTCTGAAAATGAGAAACATTATATAGAGTTTCCTTTCCAAATAATTGATTATTTTGATGTATAATCGATTATTTTGTTCTTCGCAAATCTAGAAACTTACCAAGAATAATTTAATTGATTATTTATGAGAATAATTGATTATTCCAGAATCAACTTCTAAAACAATTGTTTATTTACTCAGGAAATCGATTATTACAACAAATGTTTCTCAAGTTACTAAAAAATAGAACAAATAATTGATTATTACTAAAGATAATTGATTATTTTGAGGAAAAACTCAATAATTCAATTTTGACTTCAAATATTTTATAAATCAATTTTTAAACCTCACCATTATTAATCTAAATCATCAACCATCAACTTGTATGAAGAATAATAAACTAAGCAATGATTTAGCACCTAAGTACAAAACTAAACAAGCACAAAGGGAAGTACACCAGGCAAATTTACAAGTTGCACTCTTAACACTAAGAGGTTTATACAAATACATTTGTAATCATTAAAACATAAGAGTTTTATCTTGATCTTGATTAACATATATAATATACATCAAATATATAAAACTATAAACAAAATAACCTATCATCAGTCAACGTTTCTATACAACAAATACTACATTAGAAGAGTACATACCAAATTAGTCATCTCCAGCATGACCATCCACCAACAATCCAAGCCATCCAAACTAATCTTGCCAACCACAAGGAAAAAGGTAAGCTTGTGAAAGAATCAACATAGTAACAAGTAATAAATTTACAACTTATACAACATAAACAACTTAAACTACATCAAGCTAGTTCATAACATAACATCAACTTATCACCATCATCATCATTTACAACTTACAACATGAATAATATTCTCAACATAAAAATTTTTAATCACGACATAAACAACTTTAAACAATTAATACATTGTCACGTATATCAACTTATGAAAATATCTTGCAATAGAAGCGAGTAGTCTAAGTGACTTGTCCCTATTGAATCACTACATCTGACCTATTGCAACCAGATCAAGTAGATACAACTTTAGACCTCCCTAAGCACCTGGTAAAAAACTCAAACTTATTTCTTAGGTTTTGTTGCTTAAACTAGAAAAGTCCAGTACTACTATTAAGGTATAACACCTTGGGTGTGAGCTTACCATGGTCCCAACATGCATATCTTTGTCTTATATGGGATTAGCCCGCTGATTATTCTCCAAATACTACACACCTTTCCAACTATCAGTTAAGGGTTTTACCCCTAAACTTCATACCTTACTTAGTTTAGTTACTTTATACACGTATGACTTGACCTTACCCCCATATTATTTTCACATAAAATCTAGAGAAGACAACTCAAAACAACTAACCATTTAGGAGCCAACTTACTCATTGAAAGATTCTCAACTTTGGGCTCTTAGAGCACCATAACTTATATCCACACAATATGATATTTTGATTTTTAAACAACTTTATTCTCTTTGAGTTTTTATTTATATCAACTTAGACATGTATCTCATCAACACATGCTTATAAAACTTAACAACTTTAATCAACTTACTACATACAACTTAAAACAACATATATCTTACAACTTCGTCAACTCTCATCCATAAGCAACTTACAACTGAAGCAACTTTAAACCTCATCATACATCATAAATCAATGCATAATGAATTATAATCATACAACATCATTTATGTAAGTGAATCATCATACTTCAACACTTAGACAACTTAGAACATCAAATTTCATTTCAACAAACCACGCCTAATGCCATCCTCCTAGCACCCAACATTATTGGGCAAAGCCTTTGAATCACCCATGCCCAACACCAAACCACCTACGTCCAACACCACAAAATCAACCTCTGGTGTCGTCTAGGTAGAAAGCCATTGAATTGATCATGCTCGACACATCTCAACTTAGGCCCGACATCAAATCAAATTATAGAGTTCCTCACCGACCCACACTCGACACTATCAATCTTGCACCTAACATCGTCAGGGTAGAAGGCCATAACTTGAGCCATGCCCAACACCATGAAGGCACGCTCGGCATGATAAAGATTTTTGCACTTGACAAAAATCTCAATTTAGCTCAAACCTACAACTTATGTGTAATCATATAAACATGTAATCATATGTTCAACATGTACACAACTTATCTAACACATTTTCAATACAATAAACAACATGCAACCATCAACCATTAAGATCAACAATTCTTTCAAAGTCACTCTCAAGAATAACATTTTCAACAACATAATCATCTCATGATTTCAAAGAATCACAACCACAAATGATGATTTCAGACAACAAACAACAATATATAATTCAACAACTTTCAATCAACAAACTTTCCTTACTTTGAATCGCTCGAGAGTCAAGCAAAGGGAGGACAAAAGAGAATTTTTTGGGATCGCCGTACGACTCATTCTCAACTTGAGATTCTTAGCTTTTGAAGCTTGAATCTCTAATCTACCTATGCTACTCAACTTTTAGGGAAGGATTTAGAAGGGTTTTGTGGAGTCAAAAAGAGAAAGATCTCTCTCAAGTTTTAGAGTTTCTCTTTCACTTCTCCCTTAACTTTATAAAGATATGAACTTGTGAGATCCTCTTTTAAAAAAAGACCTTATATATCTTTCTCTAAATTTGGTCAACTTGACCTTAACTAAAATCATTACAAAACCAATTTAACTCATTTGACCCTTAGAACTTTAAAACAACACAACACACAATAAATTCAACAATTAAACCTCATATAACCTATGATTAATCAATAAGGAATAAATTCACACAATATTACATTAGCTCATTTGTCAAATAGAAAAAAAAAAAAAAACCAAATGTCTTCTAAACGAGCTTCATTACACTTCGGTTCTTGCATCAAATCAAGAACTATGTATGTGAATTACACGTTCCAACAACTAAATCTTCTATATCCCAAACCTTCTACTAGACTCCATCACCTAAGAATTGGGTTAAATTGAATAGTGATGGAGTTGTTCAAAGCAATTAGGTCAAAGCTGAATGTGGTGGAGTGGTTAGAGATCACATTGCTGTTTTTATATTTGTTTATGCATCAAATTCGGGAGATTGCTCAATCCTAAATGGTGAACTTTGTGTCATCTTCCATGGATTTATCTTTTTGAAAAATAAAGGCTTTGTGCCCCTCTTGTTGAAGTTTGACTCTCTGATAGCAATACAACTACTCTCAAATGACTATGTTCGCTCACACCCTTGTTTCATATTAAACTCGCATATCGTAGACTTTCATCAACAAAATGTTCAAATATATTGGAATCATGTTCATCATGATGCTGGTCAGGTGGCTGACGTTTTAGCCAAATTTGGTTTATCAAGTCCAAATGACCTTAGAATTTTCAAATTCTCCCCGAATTTTTTTTTACGTACTGCCTTATTAGCTTACCTCTCTGGTGTCCAATTTCCTTGTGACTTAAAAATTTATTTTTGGCCATTTAGCTCCCTCATTAATAAACAAAAAAAGACAATCATTTATAATAAAAAAATAGAATTATAAGAGAATTCTTCTTATTTCAAGATATAAGAATTTATAAATATATATCGTTATATCATATTTAAATAGTTGAGATTAAATGAAATACATGACTTTCTTGAGCGATCACATGACCAAGTATTAACTTTAATCTTGATTTATATAACTCATATTTATAGTTCCCATTTGTCACAAATTATTGCTTCATACGTTTTTCATAAATAATATATAAATAATATAAATTATACAATACATTTCTGTATTTATAAGAACCTATAACTAGGAGCTTTAGCCGTGTTCCCCACTTTTTGTTTCTCTTGTTATATATAATAATTTTAATTTATGATTTATAAATATTTGCTCTCCCTGTTTGACTAATATAATTATCATGAAGGTTAAATTATTTCAGTTATAATATATAATTAATCTATAGAAGTTATACTAACAGTTGGCTTACGTTATTATTTATTTTAGTTAGCATTTTGTTTTTACATATGAATGTGGTCATTTAACAAATTTTAACTTGGATGTTTAGATTATCCTAAATCACTTTTTCTCATTTTATGAATTTTCTCATCTCCATTGGCAATGGGTTGTACTTGTCGAATCAATAATGATACCATAGTTTATTTTAAGAGTGAAACGAGATCACTCTCACTATAAAAAAGTAATAATTAAGATGGATATATTACATTTATTTTAAGACTAAAATAAATTGTACTAACACTTGACGCTCTGCAAAATTGCCCTTTTTTCTCTCTATGCTTACACTGAATCATGTTAAGTGTTATTAAAATATAATAGACACCACTTAAACATTATATTAATCTTTTTAAATTATTTAAAAAATATTGCATTGAGTCTTCCTATAAGACGTTTCTATAAAAGCTAAAAAAAAACACGAAAGTCATGTGTAATTTCCAGTAATCTAATAAATGTTAGTATAATCTACTCTTTAAGATTATAGAAAAAGTTTTAGATGTATAACTATCAGACATGATACCATAAACATAAATAGGTGTTATTGGATAATCGCCAGACCTTTTGCTAAACCAGAGACAAAAGTCTGTATGCAAAAAAATATTTGAAGAAAGAAACCAACCCTTTAAATGAATCTCAATTTGTGGAGTTAGTTCTTAACTTCAAAACTAAGAGATACTTTAGTTCATCCAAAAAAAGCGGGAGTCAAATGAAGGCTCAAAAGTTATGCAGCTATAGCATTTTACAGAGACCATTTGCAAAGTAAAGTACTGTCCAATATGTTCAGCACATCACAAATGCTTATGTAACACTCAAGATATCCACGCTAGTGAAATTTACAGTAACATTTGAGAACAAATATTTTTACAGGTATTGTACAAAATAAGTTACATAATTCCCTCAACATCTAATATAACAATGGCGATTAGGGTTAAAAGTCCATTATTAATTACATCAGCATTGTACTTTCAGAGCTCTTTTGAATTTTTGTCAAGTCAACTAAATGGCGCATGGTTGGTCTGCCATGGGGACAATTCCATGGGGATTTCAGCTCAGCCATATGATCAAGTATCTGAAACAATTAGCGTAAGCTACAAATTAGTTTATAAGGGTGAAAGATTTGAAAATAAATTTTTTTAGATTGCTTTCCCGCAAAATCAATGCTTATCATTCCACTTCTGCATTCTTTATCGTGTGTTTTTACTTATTAATGAAGAGGAGGGGGCAGAGCTGGAAGTAATGTGATTACCTTCTGCATTTCATTTCTTCCAAGTGCATCACCAACCATAATTGATGATCGACATGCACGCGATGCCAACATTGCTCGAACTCTTGAAGGGCAAAGAGAATCTGAGGTGTCCAGTTTATAGCTACCAACGAGGGAACATTCCACATGACCATCACCATCAGACAGGGTAGAGATCAGCTCCTTAACATCTGTTGGGAAATATGCTTATGAATATCATTAATCACTTCAATACATCAATGCAAAAGCAGGTAATTCACTTCCATTACAAAGAAATTCTAAATAGAATGATTAAGCACAGGGACCCACACGTTCACAAGATTCAAATATGCGTGTCAATCTTTATATAAAGGCTTAGACACACGAATGAAAATACAACTTCTGTGTCATGAAATCGACAAAATCTCAATTCAAAGGGTACTTATAAGTGGATCATAACAAAATGACTTATAAAGTGGAGGCTGGGCTCCACAGACCCTTACAAGGGCCGAGGGCTTTCTAAAGCTTAACCACAAAGTGAGATTTATGCATCCTAAAGCATGTTCATGCAGAACTTTGTAGGTTTAGGGTTTAGGATGTTTCATAAGTCAGTTGAGGATGTTTCCAATAACTCAGTTACTGTTTTGAAGCACCAAAGCCATCAGAAGATTAAAAACTTACATAATTGTTACATCCTAATTTGTCTTATAGATATTACTTGCATCATATATCGGCTTAAACTGTATGGCTTAGCTAGACTTCCAGCTTTGGTCTGAGCCATCTTTCAATTCAAATATAAAATTTTAAAAAATAAAACAAGTATCATGGAGAATTACATGTTCAACGCACATAAGAAGCTTTTCCTTGACCTACTGTGTGATGTCATCATATTAACCAGAAAAATCCCTGAATTAATTATAGATAAAATCTACAAAATTCACTAACCTTCAATTCCAAACATAATGTTTTTACTGAATGGGACAGACTTTAATTTAAAACGGCATCCAGGTGGTGCATTTGGATCCTCTTCCAAAGTAAATCCATTCTTCCTGAAAATGTGGATAATGTAAATGCATGTTACTAATGTTACTAAACACACTAAATCTTATAGAAGCTAAAAACAAGACAAAAGTATAGCATGATGAAAGTTTGTAACTAGAAAATTGAATTCAATTTCAATGAAAGCTCCATAGACAAAAGTAACCAACACTACAAGATGCACTAGATCAAGCATAATGATGTACCCCTCATCAGAAGACAATTTTTCAGTGATTATACAAATGTTTAAATTTCTAATATGCATGCAGCAATAATTTGGAAGCTGTCAATCTTTGAGTTCATGGCTGTGATTTTTGTTCATACATGCTGCTCGAGCTTTGCTAGATAGATATAAATGCTGAAACCATCTATTTATTACCAACGAAGGTAGTGCAGGTCACCCATTAATTGACATGGCATTAAAACAGTGCAGTATTTTGAGCACAGCTTTCATGTTGGCCATAAGTGATATCTGCGTATTGAGTTTTTAAATAGAAGAGAAATTCAAGACTGGTACATCAGGAAATGATTTTAAGGTGACATTGCATCACAACTACTATTTGAAAAGATTCTCTAATAGAAAGATGATCAATCCGATTATTTCTCGAAGTTGACCACCTGAGGCAACATGTTATTACAATCAAATTAATTAAATGAAAAAGCAAAAGATACTGTTGCAGCATCATTTGCAAATAGGAAAGATGAACAGTTTGATTGATGCAGGATTGACATTAGGATCCTGTTAATGAAATATAGTTTCTCACTTTCTGGCAATAACTAGAAATAAGTAAAATCAACACATCACCAATTAATCAATATGACTCTAGTTATACCTGATTATGTCCAAGTGCATTGAAGCAACTATCTCTTCTTCAGGGGATAACTCCAGTTTTATAGGCCTACATATGAAATTTTTATTGGCAGAATGAAAAAGAGAGATGTGTACAAAGTAGGAAATATATCATCCATTTAAAGTAATTGTGTTTTAATAATCAAAAGTTCTGCTAAGCCTACTCCATAACTTTTTGAACTCAACAAGTCCCTAATACCTTATCCAAAAGTTTACATCAGAATAAGCAATTTCCTTGAACCATGTTATTGAAAATCCCCTCCATCACCAGAAGAAAAGAAAAACGAAAGAGTACGTATAATGATGGTTAGTGGATAATGATATCAACTCCTCACCTAAGAAGAGGTTGTTGGTTCAAGATGGTTGATTGTGATAGGCGCTCAAAATTATACTTCTCATCCGCAGCATGCTGAAAATGGAAAACAATTTAAATGTTGCAAAAGGAATGCTTTTATATGTATTAATCATTCAAGGGAATGGTGGAAGAAACTGCAGATTAAATAGTTCCAAAAGTATATTGGAAATTACCTGATCCACGATGAATAAATCTTTATCCAATTTACCAATGATAAATCCAAGATTGAATTGCCCAATCACCTGTTAAAACATGTGTAAATAATCATCAAGTAACTACAGTATATAATATATAATAATTTTCAAATTTATTAGAATATAGGTATATATATATATATATATAGATAGATAGATAGATATAGATATACTTTTAAGAAAGCAAATTAGCTAAATGAACTATTCAATCTAACTAATATTGATTAAATGCAGAAGTGCATCTGCAGATATGATCGAGCAGTTAAAAGAATGGAATTCAATTTTGGCATGATAAATTAGATATCGGACAACTGTATTCCAAATCCAAAAAACAAAATGACCAGGATTTCAAGGAGGAAAAAAACCTAAAACAGCCTAAACAGCTTAGCTCGACCATTTTCTGAGATAGCAAACAACTAAAGAGCACAGCAATAACCATAAATCCTAGCATAATGAAAAGATAAACCAACTAGCAATGTCATTACAAGTTTATGAAATAACAATATAAAACATACTAAGGACCTTCATTCTGCTAAAGTCTTCCTTCTTGAAAAACCTTTCAAGTTCCGTAGCTGCTGCTGCCAACACCCTTTCTTTCTGATCTCCAGCTTCTGTCTGTGGAAGCTGCAAAGTTGCAGCCGAATAGCGACTAGAAATAATTATGAGAAATAGTCAGCACATAGATGATTTTCTATTTCATGCAATGGGTACAGAAATAAAAACCTTTTGACTTTAGCTTTTCCACATCCATATTTACTGGATTGCAATAGAGAAAGTCTCTTGTCTCTCCTTTTCTTAAGATCTTGAAAAGAAAATTGCATGTTGGAGCATATCTTCAGACCAGAAGGCTTAGAAGAATCTAACCATACAGGCGATGAATGTAATGTAGGGTCTGAGGCCAAAACATCTGTAGTGATCAAATCATTGCTAGAAGAAGGAATTGATGCTGTATCGACCAGAGGTGTATTATTCTTTAGATCTAATCCCTGTAAATCAGCACATGCATATATGAAAACTTTAATTTAATTTTACACAACAGTTGGTTAAAAGAAGAAATTTTGTTGGAAAGAAAGAAGCAGTACAAAGGTGAGAAGGATTGATAAACATAAAAATGTACAATGAATAAGGTAAAGACATTAAATATTGCATTTAGTTATTTTATTTATTGATATCTGACGTTCTAAAACAGAAATGTCTGAAAGAGCCATTATTAATGATAAAATATCAAATGTTTAAAATCAATATCAACATCTAGCAATATTATACTTCAAGAACTAAAAGTATTATAACCATAAAAAAAAAAAACCTAAAAGTATGGATATATGAAATTTTAGCAGTTCAAACCACATATACCATTTTAGATTTAGGATCTCCGTCAGAGGAGTCAACTCTAAAAGAATCTGAATTTTCATTTCTGTGAAAGACGTTATCAGGACTAAGTTGCTTCAAAGATTCAATCTCATTCACCCTAGAAGGTTCATCAATTTGGTCAAAACAAAGTGATGATGATCTTGTAATCAAGTCGTGTTTTTCAGTATTTGCAGTCTTCAATTGACATTGAGGAGCTTGATTTCTAAGGACTGGCACTTCAGATAAGGTTCTATGGACACCATCACGATTTCTTTTATTTACAGAAACAAAATTGTTAAGAGTGGACTGAACATGTCTTGAATGATTAAATAAATCTTTACTAGAAGTGCTCCCATTCTCAACTGTTCTTGAGACAAGGGTAGCTTGATCATGCATAACACTACCGGGACGTGCTGACTGTCTTCCACTCTTGTTATCCTTTGAAGAGCTGTGCGCTCTGAGTGTGAACCCTTGGTTCGTTAAACACCCATTGTTCTCACAATTCAATCCTTCTTCAACTCGTGAGTACTGATATTCATTAATAGATTCAGAAGCATTTTTTAAATCAGTAACAAGTTTCTCCTTGTGCTCATCCTGAGAAATTCTATCGTTGTTGCACTCAGAACTAAGCTTTTCTGGAGAAACACTACCACTGTTGCATTCAGTACAATCCTCTTCCTGTGGAGGGCTGCCATTCAAGAATGGAAGCTTCATTATCACAGGAGACTTCCCATGAGATGAACACAACTCAAGACACTCTTCTTTTTGAGCAGGCAGCATAACTTCATTAACAGAGTAGCAGATATTGCTAGCAGAATAAATCTGCTGTAATCCCTCTCTCAGGGCTTGCAATATAGCAGTTTCTTCAGAAAAAAATATCTTTCTCTTATCAGGAGTCACATTGACATCATACGCCCTTGTAGGAACCGTAAAATTCAAAACAGCAATGGGATACTGTTTGGAGTTTGCACTTTTATACAACTCATTCACAAGTTTGCTAACTTTAGGCATATCGACCGGTCTACCATTCACAAAAAAATACTGTCTATCCCCCAAATTACGTCCATTACCCTGTCCAGACTTGGAAAGAAAACCTTCAACTTTGCAAGAATCAGATATAGACAATGTCACAGGCTCTAAGCAGCTGAAAGTGTTCATGCCAAGAACCGTTATGACATTATCCTTTAGCGAACCACTTCCTTGCGTCTTAAGAACCACAGACCTCACATTTTTGCCAGTCGTGTTAGTGCACACAAAACGAACACCTTTCGCTATAAGGGCATAAGCCTGAAGAAGAAAGCAAAAGCTCACATTAACAAACACCCAAAGTAACATACAATAACTAAGAACCTGTTTGAATACAAGTTAAAAGTATTTTGAGAATTTCTCTACTGAAAAAAGAAATCTTTATTTTCGTCAGAGAAACTTTCGAAAACTCTTCTAAGCATTTACTCAAAGAAACTCTAAATCTTTTCATAATAGAGACTCACATTCAACAGAGAAACCAACTTGCCATATTCCCTACGTATGTTACGACTAAACTCTTTGCTTCGAACAGGCAAATTGAAGAACAACTTTTTAACCATAACAGTGGTACCAATTTGCCGTGCAGTTTTCCTTTCCGCCACAAGAACACCGGAATTGTCGAAAGTCAAGTGCGTAGCGACCGGTTCGCTCACCGTTCTCGTTTCAACGGTCAAGTTCCCCAAAGCGCAAAGCGAACTCAAAGCCTCCCCTCGGAAGCCGAAAGTGGTCAGAGACTGAAGATCGTGAAACTCCGCTAACTTTGATGTGTGATGCTTCAGCGCAAGAACCTGCAACAAACGTCATCACAAAAAACGGTTAAAAAAAGAATGTGAACCCTAATAACGATGTTTAGAGTAATAGTTGAATAAATACCTTGAAATTGTTGGGGGAAATGCCGCAACCGTTGTCGATGACCTGAAACCATTGTTCGCCGAAGTCCTTGAGGGAGATTTCGATGCTGGTGGCGCCGGCGTCCAAGCTGTTTTCGACGAGTTCCTTGACGGCGGAAGAGAGGTCGAGGATTACTTGACCGGCGCAGATTCTGTGAACGATGCCTTTGCTGATAGGCTTGATGATTTGAGCTTCAACTACCATTGCTGATTCAGTGCTTCACATAATCGATTACCAAAACCCCATTTGATACAATACAATTCGACGCACAAACCTGCAAATTTACCGCCAAAATTGAAGCGGCAATCAAACCCACACAAAAGGATAAGAAATAAATATAAGCATTTGCTTCGCTGCTCTTGATCCTTTTAGATTGGATTGAATTGAATAAATATAAAGTTATAAACTAATTCATTGCTCCTTTTGGTTTTTAATAGTTAAGCAATTTTTTTTTTTAAGGGAGCTGTTATGTACCTACGATAATTGAAGAGTTTTAGTACTTTAAATAATGTGAAAAAAAAATTTAAAATAACTTAAATTTTAGATCAAAAATTTGTAAAAGATGAATCAATCACAAAGACTAATTTAAAAAAAATGAAAAGGTTAATTTTCATAACAAATTTTATTTATATATGACAGAATTAAAAACAAAAAATATAATAATATTATAAAAATATTAAAATAAGAAAAAAAATAATAAATAATATAATTGAAAAACTAATTTATACTATAATTTAAAAAATTAACACTAAAAAAATTAAAACGTATTAACAAAATATTAATATTAAATTATTTAATTATAATATATGTTACATTAAGATAAAATTTTAAAAAATATAAAAATAATTTAAAGATAAATTTTTTATAAAGATAAATTATTAAAAATAATAAATTAAAATAAAAATAAAACAAGTAATTACAATTAAAAATATATATATGCGACTGTTCCGGTACCCATGGGGTACCGTAGAGTTTTCCTTTTTTTAATTGTAACGACCCGCCTAGCCGCCACACAGCACAATACCACAACATCACACAGAAAAGAGCATGTATATATATAAGCAGCTAAAATATATACACAAGGTCTAATCTGGGACTTAAAGAAATCAGAGTATAACATACACCCCAATTACTACACTAAGTAGCTAAAACAGCAAAATATCAAAACTACATCCATTGTATCTGTCAGCTACAGATCTGCATCTACACACCAGCCTATCCCTGCTCTGCTCCCATACATAATATGATCATTGCAGTCCAAATCACATGGAAACAACAAAGGGTAAGCTAGTGAAAAGAATCAACTTATACACATAATTACAAGAATTATAATCAGCTACAGCTATCAGCATATCATATATCACAACATACATCTCACATCATTCAACAATAACAGCAGTAAACAAACAATGCGTCGTCACGCATATCAGCTCGGAGATCTCCTACAACAGCTTAGCCTTACGGCTTACAATAGCTCAGCCTTACGGCCTACAACAGCTCAGCCTTACGACCTACAACAGCTCAGCCTTACGGCCTATAACAGCTTAGCCTTGCGGCCTACAACAGTTTATATCATCATGCAGCACATCACAACAATAATAGCATATAATAGCATATAATAGCATATAACAGCATACAGCACAGCTTAAACAACTCACAGCACAACAATATTATATTTCAGCTTAACATTCATAATAACAACTCAGCCCAACAATTTCTCAGCATATAAGTAAAGATCACACCCGCGCCCGGCGCACTCATGGTCGCGTCCGGCGCGACCCAACCAGAGAGCACCAGGGCTCAAACGCGCCCGGCGCAATTCTAATTGCGCCCGGCGTGCTAGGGGGCAGAGACTCCAAAGAGTCTCACACACCCGGCGTGCCAAACCTGCGCTCGGTGCAAGGTAGGTAGAGACCTCCCAAGGTCTCACGCCCAGCGCAATTACAATTGCGCCCGACGCCACCTCTGTTAGAGACTCCCAAGGAGTCTCCATGCCCGGCAAGACAAGGTCACACCCGACGCCACACTAGAATCACAACAAAGTGGGTCACTGACTGATAACGCGCCCAGCGTGGTCCAACCACGCCCGGCATGAGCCATCTAGGGGCATCCATCCTCCAGCTCGCCCGGTGCACACCACTTGCGCCTGGTGGGCTCGACCAATGGAGCCCTCTGATGGTCACGCGCCCGGCGTGCTACCACGCAGCAACTCTCCAAGTTCAAAAATTTTCTTCAAAACCTACAAAATCAAGTCATCCAAACACATGCAATCAGCCCAAAACTCCACATATTCACCAAACAGCTCAAAAATACCATCATTTTCAACATGCAACTACAAATCATCAAAAACCCAAATTTTTCACCCAAAACCCCGAAACCTCGAAAATGAAAATTTCTCCCATCTCAGTCAACAATCATCCATCATCAAGCAACTAATGAGTTTCTAAAACTCATTCTCAACCAAAACCAGCAAAACCTAGCTTCCCTTACCTCGGTGAAGAATTCCGAGCTTCCGAGAAGGAGAAAGGAGAAGAAGAACGAGCGGAGAAACGAGACGGAGAAGGAGACTTCAGCTAGCTTCCAAACATCACTACACAACACCTACTCAACACCACCACCTAAAGGTTCCAGAGAAAAAGACCAAAGGTAAAGAGAGTGAAGAAGAGAGTGAAAGAGAGAAATGAGTGAGAATAGAGTTGAGAGGGAGGAATGAATAAGCTACGGGTCTCACATTAATTAATTAATGTTTTTATTTTTGAAAATTAAGTGACTTTTTCTCTTATAAATTTTTTTACTCAATTTTTAAATTTTCTACCTAAAGGAAAATTTATGATAAATTAAAAAAGTTTAAAAATTAATGGAAACTTAATGACATTTTAAATATTTTATAAAATGAGATCAGAGTTTGGAAAGGAAAGTTTTAAGATTTTTTTTTAAAATTTGAATTTTGATTATTGACTTTTGAATTAAAGACAATATATAAAGATTTTAAAGGAAAAGTAAATTTTAATCATTATAAAAAACAAAAAAAATAAATAATTGAGGGAAGTGCAATAAAATCGATTGTGAATAGGATTCACTATATATTAAAACACACAATCTAACTGCTAAATCTAAAATTATATATATATATATACAAGGACGGAGCCAAGGGGGGACCTACGGGTGCCACGGCCCCCCCAACAATTTTAATTTTTTTTTATATACATATATATTACTATATGGCACCCCCTATTTTTAATATAAACTCATATGTATAATTAAATGAATAACCCAAATTTATTTTTTTATTCAACTTTTGGACTTCTGGTACGGCCTGCTATGTGGTATCACTTTGGAATTTTTTTTTTTTTAAAAAAATGTAGCGCCTCATTTGATCATTCCAATTCTCGGCCCCCCAGTATTGAAATCCTGGCTCCGTCCCTGTATATATATTATAAATGACATATTATAATATGTAAATCAATACTTTTAAAAATCTGGTGAGATAGTGCAATATTGTTTTTTTTTATATTAGTTATAACAACTTCTTATAGAGAAATGTGATACAATATTTTTTAAACAAATAAAGAGATTTAGTATAAAAATGGATCCTCTCCATTCCTCTTTCTCTCCATTTCTTTCATTTTTTAAACTTTTTTGAAAAAATTAATAAAATAAAATTGATAAAGTTGATGCCTACTTTAGGAAGTATGACATTTATACTTCTAAAACTTTAGTAATGAATGGAATTGAGAGAAAAGGAAATGAGAGAATCTTTACTCATTTGATATACCACATAAGTATTTTAAAACAAATAAAATAACAAATGTGGGTACTAAAAGAATTGAAAAATGAGGGATTTGGATAAAAAATTGTCAAAATAGTATGATTTTCTCTCTATATATATATATATTGTTTAGAATTTGACTTGTATTTTATTTCTTTCGCATATGATATCAAATTTTGATATAATTATATTTAAAACTTGCATTAATATGATATTTTTAGACATATAAATTATATTTTTATTTTTATACATATAATTTATATTATAATATAATTATTTTTAATTATTAATAATTTATTTTAAAAATATTAAATTAGATAAAATGTTGAAAAAAATTCCTAAAAATACTCTCAAATAATATAGTCACTTGAATTTAATATAAAAAAATTATTAATAATTTTTTAAAATATTAAAACTAAATTAATAAATAAATATGATAAATAAAAAATTAAATTAGATAAGAAATTGCAAGAATACTTAAGAACACTTCTGTCAAATAATAGTTACTCTGGGAAGCCGTTCTTTAGATGTACTTTAACTTATACTATTAGATAGGTAGTCTGAACTAATTGTAGAAAATAGTTTAATAAATTGTTATAGATAATCATATAAAATAAATTATATACATAGATAGAAAATAGTTCTTAAATAATAACTCATGTTTTTTTATTAACTCAACATTTATCGTAGCTAAATATACTTAACTCCACCCCCCCACCCCCCCACCCCAAATAAAAGTAAAATCTAAATATAAATATATTACCCCAAGTATAATCGTTTTCTTTCGAGGTCTTTCAAAATATTGTAAAATGTTAATTGTTAAAAAACAAAAGAATGCAATCCGAACAAACTGTACATCTCATAATAAAATTGTAAAAATCTCGCATAGGTTTTCTGTTTAGAGGTATAACAATCTTCCCCATTATTGTGAGAGGATGGCGAGGGTTGGAAAAGGGGAAAGAAAACCATTGAGACGCATTATTTTATGATTCACTAGAAAAATTAAGTATTGGAAAAGGGGAAAGAAAACCATTGAGACGCATTATTTTATGATTCACTAGAAAAATTAAGTAGCGTTCATATATACATCCATACACAGCACAAACTGCAAATCAGAAATAAAATGCAATACAGCAACAGGTTATACATGAAATTAACAGAAGAAAAAAAATGAGAATTATTTATTTTATTTTGACGAGAAAAAAAACCTTGGTATATACAAGCAGAAAGGCCAAACAGGGCAAGAATAAGGGTTGGATGAGCAGGGAACCTAAATTAAACTCTTTATCTCAAGTGAAATCGTCAACCGATTCTAATAATATATGAAAAAAATTGGAGAGGATGGTGAGGGTTGGAAAAGGGGGAAAGAAAACCTATGGTATAATACAATAGAGGCAGAACCAGTGACAGGATTTCCACATCTGCTGGTTGACCTTGTTACACCATTTAGGTGGTGATAGAAGAATGGCCTAAGCAATAAATGCTATACAGAGAGAGCTTTACATGAAATAGCTCAGTGATCTCATTTTTCTTGATCCACCTTCCCCATAGAGGTCATTCCATTGGAGTAGCTCATTCATATTATTTGACTCTGATGACACGCTTGCACACACCTGCACAAAAATATACATCAAACAATTCATGTCATATTTAAACACCCTTTCCCCAGTGTCAAAACACTTCAAGGTTTACACGTCATTTCAAAAAGAAAAACAATGGAAAAGAAATGAATATACCTGCTCATGTGCATATCTAAAATCATCCATCTTTAAAGGACGAATGTCTTCGCTGCCACACAAGCCAGGTAAAGGTTTGTTCTCTGACAATGCTAAGCTTCTCTCCTGAAAGACATTTCATATCAAAGTAAGAAGAGATCACCAATCCCTGGACTATTATGAAAGCACCTTAAGGTGCACACGATCATATTTAGTACTAAAATGAAAGACTTCTGTATGAGAAACCCATATATATACACACACACAGTCACTAACCCTCTTTTCCTTCTCCAAGATCTCTCGTATTGGGCAGTGAGCTGCTGTAACACACAGATTCTGCAATCGAAAGATAACAATGAGAATATTTTATGTAGAATTAGATGCTACCTTCTCCAGCAACAAAGAGTGAAGTGGAAAATATATAAAAATACAACCTTTAGGTCACTCCCAGAATATCCATCAGTCATATTAGCCATTGATTCAAAATCAACATCAGGAGCCAAATCTTCTTTTGCTAAAATGACTCTGAGAATTTTTTCTCTGTTTGGAGCATCTGGCAAATTAACCATCAATCTACAAAATTTGTTTGAAGAAAGACAGTGCATTAGAATAGATCTCCATCTGTAAAACATGAAAATGCAAGTTACCATTAAACGCAACATGCTTACCTTCGAGGAAGCCTCCTAATAACAGCCTCATCAAGATCAAAAGGCCTGTTTGTAGCAGCAAGAACAAGTACCCGCTCTTTATCTTTCGTACGTAGACCATCCCAATTAACCATAAACTCATTTTTCATTTTTCGCATAGCCTCGTGCTCACTAGGGTTTTCACGTCTCCCCAACATACTGTCAACCTACCACAATTGCCACAAAATCAACACACATAATTGAACTAAGAAAATCCATAGTAGCTACCAGAAGAAAAAAAAAACAAGATTGAAATATGTTTAGGTCTTCAATTCAGCTAGTTTTTCATTTTGCGTTGTCTTTTAGAATGTTCACTGAATTTGCAGTGCATGGTGCTGGATATTAGATATTTAGATTTGAATTAAAGAAAAAATATTGTCGAAAATAATCAGAAAATATAACTGAGGAATTCAGTAAAAAATTTGGCTTTAGAACTTTTGTGCAAATCTGCTGGAAATTCATTCCAAATCACAACACACCACCTTCTCAACCCAGTGAATCAACCCTTCGTAAACACTGGTCCATCTTTCCAGACACCATTGCCACTCTCCTTCAGCTTACCAAAGCCATAAGGTCTAGGCCATTTTATAATCAACAATCTAATAACTTTGGTAAACCTAAAAAGCACTTCAAAACTTTCTATTATTGTCCCCATCACATTGAAAGCCACAAACGCCTTTTGCACATCCCTTTAACATCATTATATAGACCATGACCTTGCTTTCCTCATTTCATGGGCATACATGTCCATTTAAACAGCAATGACTCATATGAAGGGTAAAATAATATCATTTAAAACAAAGGAAAAGAAAACTTCAAAGGAAGATAAACAAATAGGATAAGCAACCTCGTCTACAAAAATAACACTTGGAGCAATTTTGCTGGCCAGAGAAAAGACTGCTTTGACATATTTCTCTCCTTCACCAAACCACTGCAACAAACAAAACCATATATTTCCTGTCATTAAAGCATATAAGGAAATACACAACAAAACAAAAGCAATTTGCAACACTAATACCTTGGAAGTAATGCTGGACATTGAAATGTTAATGAAATTTGCTCCAGCTTCAGTTGCTACAGCCTTTGCGAGCATTGTTTTTCCTGTTCCAGGGGGGCCAAAAAGCAATATTCCCTTGCAAGGCTATATCCAAATACCAAAGTAATATAAATTAGGTGCTACATACATGGTGTGAATATGATCTACTTAAAAAAATGCATCCTACAAGTCATTTAAAGCAACTGAATAAAAATTCTATCCACCTTTGTCAGCTGTCCTCTGCAAAATAATTCAGGCCTTTGAAGAGGAAGCATGACCAATTCCTTCAAGGTGTCCTTAACATTTTCTAAAGCTCCAATATCATCAAATGTGACCCCAATATCAGTTGGTGGAATAACATCAGCAAGGAGTTTTTTCTCAAATTCATTCTCGGTAACCACATCCTGGAGAAACAATTCAAAGAATACAGGTGACAATTCCATAATTAAACCATGACGAAGTATAGAAACCAGATGGATACCAGTAATGCAAAATATCTCCACAAGAAATGATGGAGAAAGGTTTAAATTTGTGATGTCTTATGATAAATTACCTTCAGTGATTTTTTCAAGTTCTTGTTCTCATTTTGAATGCCCTGTAGAATGTTAAGCCCATAATTAATGCTGCACCAGAGAAATGAAAAGTAGTGTTAACAAAAATTAATTTGATACAAACAATTTTTTTATGGTACTATATATTTCATTAAAAATTTTAGGGCTGAAATTATCAAAATGCCCAAAAATGACGAACACAAACCTTTCTGCAGATATCAGAAGCTTAGAATCTTTGATAGCTGTTTCAGACGAATGCATAAAATGATAACTTATAGCCCAGCCTATGATCTTCTCCACACCTAGTAAAAGGAGATCATTGGATATTTTCAGTACTAAGGTAGCAAATCTCAACATCTCATATTAAGCAGGAATAATAATTTCATGCATGATATAAAAAGGGAAAAAAAAAAAAAAAAAAAAAAAAAAAAAAAAGGGAACTGACTCTCAGGTGTTAGGGTTTGATCTTTAACGCAAAGAGTCTCAATGTCAGGGCAATCCAATCCAATCTTGTTGAAAACCTGGATCATTAGAAGAATCTAATCAGATGTCTGACAAATGGGATGGCAAAAATGAATTTTAATATTTCAAACTTAAGTCAGATACAGGTCAGAATGAAGCTCTATATTGTCTAACAATTCAACATCAAATAATCATTTTGTTATATACAGAAAAGGTTTATTTTTCTATGATAGCAGTACTTGCCCATGTTATAATGGCAATGTGAATTTACCAATGGATATAGATGGCCATGAAGGGTAGGCATGTAAAAATAAGAAAACAAAAAAGAATTTTACATACATAAACAATTTTTAAAATAACATTAGCATTGTTAACCCAGTGGGGAAGATTTCACAGAACTAATGGAAGTGATAATAAAAGTGAAAAAATTGAAACATGGAGAAAAAATGCAGCAACAAGAAGAAGGATAGAATAATAAAAGAAAAAAAGGCACATAAAAATTATCACTTGATGTTGCCAGACTTACTGTGCGAATGCTGACAATATTGGACTGAGCTTTCATAGTTTCAATATCCCGTTCTAATTGCTGCTTCCAATCAGAAAGTAAAGCCTCATCCTATACAAAGTTAGAGGTAAAATCAATACATGAACTGTACATAGCAATGAGATAATTACAAAAATAAAGTTAATCTAATGTCATACCTGAGGCAGCTGTATTGTCACTTTATTTGGGAAAAGGCGACCAAGTTGCTTCATTACTTTAGGGGTTTCTTTGCTTCGATCATGCAGTCTACTAAAGTTATCCTGATAAAAAAGAACCAAATGGTGGTAGATTGATTATAAATTCCTTAAGGGACGAGAAGCAACCAAGCTCCAATGTATTTATAACAATATATTAACAAGGATTCAGATCTATCTAAAAGCTATGAATAGTGTGAAGGTACAGAAAAAGACAAGCACAATAACTTCCATGCTAGAAATACACCAAGCTTTAAATCAATGTAATAAGAGCAATGGCTGTGATTCTTATACCGGAAAAGCAAGATCAAGTAGTGCGGTCTGATTGCTCCCAAACTTGGTAAACAAAAGGCCACCAGGTTGGGTCTGGAACCACAAACACGCAGTCAGTAAATGCAGCAGCAAAAACATTCCTCTAATCATGGAATCACTACAATCTAATGCTAGCTTACAAATATAATAACAAGACAGTACCTTCTCCTTCCGATTGTCAAGCAGAGTATGAGAGCCAATTACCACAACATTTGGTGGCAAACTTTCAAATTTATTTTTCAAAACTTCATAGTTTCCAACCATTGCCTTCTCGATATCTTTAATGAACAACACTAGTGGACCACTTTTACTCTGATTAGAGGTAACCTATGTACAAAGCATAGAAGGGTGTTAAATATACTTCTTCAGGAATAGAGGCAACTTTTGGACAGGTAAAGAACAGGGATAACCTCAAAGATTTCATTTATTGCAACTTTGTCTGCATCATCCCCTCCAGAACCATCTACCCGTAGTAAATGATTTGCTGCAGTATAAATCCTCAATAAATTATACGTACTAAAATTATAGCATTCAATATGTTAAAATGCTGCTGAGGCAAGAAAAATTCAATCAAATAAAGTGAATTACCGGCACAAAAGAACCCACGGTCATCTTCACAAAGACCTCCAAGATCATTGCCATCTGGAATTGATTTATCAAACCTAACCCCAATTTTTGAAGATCCATTATCTTCAAATGCGAGAAGAACTTTGCCCCGGGAGCCATAGCTTGGTCCCCTAAACCAATATAGCAGAAGCATAAACTCTTAACTTCCCAGAATAAGAAAAATAAAATAAACTAGGATTAAACATAAAAAAATAAGCAGGAGGATAAAATATCAAAACAAACAGATAATTAAAAATTAAGAAAATGAAATGCACAACACAATAAATCTAGCTATGGGCAATGCACCAAAGAAAAACCATAAAAACACACAACACAGTAAACCTAGAGCTCAAGTACATTCAGCTTCAAATAAATACATAGGATAAATTACACACAAAATTTTTTTTATCACAACTGAAGTACTGAAACGGGTCCAAACTCTAAAGTGATTTTTTTCTTCTTTTTTGTCCAAAAAGTGAAAATTTATTAAAGTAATGACCTCTGCAAATGAGGTATTCCATTAAAATCTCATTACTCTTTGCTAAAAGTTCACCATTCTTTTTAAAGCCATATTAAAAGATTTTTCATGTACATTCTCCTTAATAAAAAAGACTACAATACAAATCTTATATCTAAACAAGAGTGGATCAACCTCTTACTCATAACCTGAAAAAAAATTATAAGTATTCCATTAAAAAATTAAATAAATTACCTTGAAGGATAATTTGGTAGTGATGAGACAGCAGAAGGAAAGTTACCAACAAATTTTACCCTATCACCTGCAAATTACTCAAGAATCGTGTCATTAATGCCTCTTTTTTATGTCATTAAAGCCTTAAAAATGTGACCTAGCATTCATAATAAAACAAGACAATAGGAAATAAATTTGCAGATCGGTGCTCATTTATAGATCACAACAGCATACCCTCTTTAAGAGTAGTGCCTTTTGATGATGCAGTAGAAACCTCTTGCTTCAGCATAGCCTGAGAACTTAATGTGGATCCACCTATAATTTCAGCATCAACACTAGAAGCTGGTTTCTTATGGTGTAATGTGGCAGTTTGGGCATTTCTCTTAGCAAACACAGATGGTCTTTCAGTTCTGGAACTTTCTTTAGTAGAATCAACTTCCTTTGGTGATGCTCCCTGAATAACCAATTGCATAATTAAGAACAATTGAGTGTATATTAATTAGTCCTGATTTGGCAAGAAACTATCTCAACTAAAGCAAGCAAATAATCCCAGAAAATACCATGACTAGTAATAAGGCACGATTCTGCAAAACCCCTAATAACTATAATAGAAGAATATCTAAAATAAAACATACACCGGGCAATGAAAGAGAATCCAGAATCAATAGCCTGGCAGCAAAATGCTTTGCAAGTGCCTTGCACAAAGTCTCCTGATATATTTCAGAACCTACACAAGAATTATGTAAAATGATGCCACTTCTCTAATACAAAAAGGTGGATGTAGAAGCATAAGCAAGAATTATGTAACTACCTGCAGGACCAGATAACAGTATTCGTGGAGACACTGATGGGAGGTCTGAAGCATATTTTCCAAAGCCATTGCACTTCAGATGAATAAATGTAGAAGCAATCAAAACATTCTTTGTTGTATCACTGCATAATACAAAACATCAGAACCAAGAAGCCATAAGTTATCTCTTATCACTTATCAATTTCAAAGCAGTAACTACAAGCAATTTAATCCAGCAATATAGCAACAAAGTTATAGTTCACACGTAATTGTGACCATACTCAGCATATAATTCAGGCAGCATAATCAAGAGATAAATTAACAACAAGAAGTAATTGTATGCACCTTAGATAATAAGGAAAAGTTTCAAAAGAGACATCAATGTTCTCAGCTTTGAGAATTCTCTGTAGTAAGCTTTCCTTAAATGCATGCCGCCTAGTTGATGCCAATATTGTTGGGGTATCAACATCTTTAAGGAGTTCTCTTAATTCCCTTCGCTCTTCCAATATCTTGGTAATGCCACAACTTAAATCAAGTTCAGGACATGAACCATCAAGCATGCGCAGTAATGGCCTCAATTCATACGGAGCAGCAGTCACCTTCCCAACATCAGCATCCACACTGGTGTCAACTTCCATTGTGTCAAGGCTAGGATTATCGTTAACAGTGTTAGAGGATGCAAGAACAGTTTTGTCAGCAGATAAAACTCCAGACGGCACATCATTATTGGTGGTATCCTTTATTTCATTGTCTGGCATATCATCCCCATTGCCAGAAGGTAGTGATGAAATGTCAGCATTCTGTTGCACATTCTGGCCAGTTTTAGCCGGAGATGAAAGGAGAGATAAATCTTTATGGATATTAGATAGAGAGGCCAATATCGATGCTCCAGCAACAGCAGAAGGGTCACCAGATCTAGCTTCAACTTGAGTTCCATTTATTGGAGCACTCTGGGCTTCTAAAATACTCACAGAAGAAGGAATACCAGCAGTATTCATATTATTTGTGAGCTGCTGAAAGATCTGAATTCAATGCTAAGGAACCCATAATACAACAATAAAATAAATTTAGGAATGAAAAAGTAACCACAGATGCATGCAAAGAAGGAAGGAAAGATCAACAGGAACTAAAATGGGAAACAGGTAAATACTTCCCAAGGAACCATATCATATGTAAAGGATACATAAGCATGCTTGCCAGAAGAACCAAAGACCACCTCATCACCACCACTTAAAATCACACGGGCATTCTGATTCTTTCGATATGTTTTTCCATTAACTTGAATAGAACCTTTGCCTCCTGTGATTTCAAGTAATGCAACAGAGGAGCCTCCACGCTGTACATTGTCCAAATAACAACTGTGGTCAGTAATCTTAAAAAACATGGAAATGTTCAACAGTAATTTTCTTCCAAGGGGATATTTTTAGGTAGATGGGGATAATTTTAGGAAGCATCTACCGTAACTGAACAAAAACTAATCTTTTCATTAATATATTTAATCAAGCATCTAAAATTGGTTTTTATTTTGCTTGAGAAATCACTATTTTGTCATAATAAAGCTGGAAAGCAGATGAACCATTAGTTATTCAGCTGATCATTTTAAGCTTCAAACGATAAAAGAGGAAATCCTACCTCTATGTGACTCAACTTGCACAAAGCATTACCGACAGTGGGATCTTTAAGATATAAATTACAATTACGAGCTTGACCAACAGTGAAGATAGGATCACTCATGGACACGTGAGGATTCTGGAGAAAGATGAACAACAAATAAGATTAATTCCAAACCTACAATAATACAATCAGATATGGAAGAGTTAATAAGACAAACATAAATCATCTCACAGTTCACCCGCCCCTCCCCATTTTAAGCCAACAGCAAATAGAAAAAAAAAGTATATGTGAATACAACTCATGTCTATCATCAATGTTGTTTTTTTTCCAATGAAATCAAATAAAATATTTTTTTTACCAAGCAACTCCAAATCTTAGAATAGTTGATGAGATGAGATATCCTATAATCTGAAAATGTAATTGCAATTTGCAATACTTGTCCTGTGGTGTCCTGTTATTATACATCTACCAAATGCACTTTGTGTGACATATAGTATAAAACAAAATATTCTCCTCCAGTAATGCACACGAGACTCAAATTTCCCAAAGTTACTAGATTCAACCACAAAATAAAGTTATGCCGAGACTACTTTTTTATGTTATTAAATTAATCAGATCCAACTAATTTTCTTATCCTGCATGGATTTCCATAACTACAATGCAAAGTTAAGTTTCAAACAGGCTAAAACAAAGTCAAGTAATTAGCTCTCACTGTTATACAGATGAGCAAGGGTGGCCCTGAACAACTAAGGCCTATCAATCCAATCTTATAACTAGGGTTACTTACACAAACCTCCCATGATGTTAGAGCTTATTATGCCAAACATCCCTATTGTTTGAGTTATTAAACTTGTATCCCCTCTTTTTAAATTATTTGTATCACCAAATCTTGAAACCCTTTGTCCAGCCACCACCTATCATCATCTTTGCTGCCACATTCTTTGAAAAAAAGCATCATCGCTTCCTTCACCTGCAGCTAACAAAAAATAAAAGCACCCACCCATGTCGGCCTCCATCTGCAAACTAACTTCCCTCCCTCTCCAATGCCTACTGAACAGCTGCACCTCCAATGCTGACCTCCCCTATTGCTTCCACCTACCACTGTTGCAAACTACATCAGCACCTCTGCATGCTCATCCAATGCTGATGCACTGAACACTGGCTTCCAGCTCAACATGTGCACAGCATGCTTCTCCTTAGGTCAATCACTATCTGTGCTCCCTTCTTCCTCCCCTCCAGCAACATTGCTGTCAACAATCATGCAAAGGGGATAGCCTCCGTGGTGAAGGTCAATTGGAACTGGAATATTAGTACAGAATCTTCCACCCTTTTCATTTCTGTAGCCGTTATCCTATGGCTATCTGTCTCTGCCTACTCACTTTTCCTTTCCTTCTTTCCCCTTTAATTGTTTTCCGTATCCTTCCCTCAATAGCTAGCCCCTCAGTCTCAACCCTATTCTTCCCTTTCTTTCGCAAATGTGTAACCTGTGTGAGGGTTTGATTGAGATTAATGCAGAACTGTATAGAAGCACATGAAAAAGCACCCTTTACAACCCAAAGCCAGTACCCTTCTCAATCATCGGAAGAATATCACCCAATTTTCGTCAAATACTTGAACACCTAATTTCCTCACTGGCAGCGGCCAGTTCAAACTAGAAGAGCCATTTACCTCAAATAGGTATCACCCAGACTCCAGAACATTGAGCACCAGAACTATCTGGACCCTATTCATTTCCACCAACCTCGACAGGATGAACTTCCAGTGGTACAGCCCATGAAACCAAAACCCTTCTTACAAAGGAAACAGAAGCTCTGCTGTGTGGGACACGTTTTAATCATAAATGACCAAGAATTTGGCAAGTTTAATAACTGAATTTCCAATAATGAAAGTTAAGGAGTGCTCTCGTCTCTTTTTTTAACAAATATGAAAGTAAAAGTGTGCAGTTGTTGTGTGGTAATGCTAACTGTTTTGGTGAGGGAGGGAAGATTGGAGTATCTTTGATATTTTGGTAAATTTGTGCCAGGGATAAACTTGAGACAATAAATTTCCCTATGGTTCACATATTCTTCATGTACCATTTCCACTAAGAATAACAAGTACAGGAGGTAAGGTTTAATTTTTCAAACAAGAGGACTGTCAGTGTAGTATGGTAAATGCCTCGGGCTGTAATTACCCTGAAGTCAACAATGCAACACGAGGCTTTTAGGAAATTTAAGTAGGCTTGAAGAATTTCAGAGCCCAGAATTGATCAGTAACACACCACCGTGGAGTGGGCATAGCCACTATATTTACCATAGTAGATCATAGTAGCAAGAGTCGTGACTGCAAATCACAGCCACTATCCTGGAAATTGTGGCCCTTGCTGTTGATCAAAATCCCCTATTTACCAATTGTTTTGTGGGTCATTGAAGTCATATTTTGCTCTAATTTTTCCATCTCCAGACAGGTCACGTTGTGTTCCCCTGGTTTTTCAAAGAGACCTTTGCAATTCTAATTTTTAATTTGAGAGGTCTCTGTTCTAATTTTTTTGGGATTGATAACTATACACGGAATGTGTAAACTATAAAGTATTCAGTATCTATCAATACAAGAGTACAAAGACACAAAAAACAACAGCTCCTGAGCCATCAAAACCACTAGTCCAACAAAAGCAAACTGGAAGGACAAGAATTGGCATGCATTCCTCTAGCGGAAACTACTCAGAGACATACACAACTCAACGCAAGCATGGTAAACACCCAACCAAGAACAATTAAATCAAACAAACCTACTTGTGAACACTGAGAAAGGAGTTTTCCCCACGCAGCCTTGGGGTTCAATTTCGTAGGGCGCTTCTTGGACCGACCACCCGTCGTCGTCGCCGTCGCCGTCGCCGCCCCGCCAGCCGCCTTCGATTTCTCCGCAGTTTCACCTGAATTTGGCACAAATTCATAAATCCCACCAATCGAAAACCCGCATGCATGCAGAGAAACAACAACCCCACACAACAACCGACGCAAAACACGCGAAAAGGGTTTGAATTTCCGCACCTAGACACTGAGGGGACACCAAAGCCTCGGCTTCAACGGGCGCAGAGGGAGATTTATCCGGCGACATCGCATCAGAACCGTCGACGGCCTTATCGGGCAGATCAGAGGGCCGCAGCTCGGGTTCGGCGGATTCATTGGCGGTTCCAGATTCGTTGACCGGAGCGATGGAAGGGGCGGTGGTGGATGAGGAATCCTCGGAGACCTAGGTGAAGAGAGAGAATGGATCGAATTGGATACCCAGATGGGGAAAAGGGGAATTGGCGTGGAATAGGAGAGAGAAAGAGAGTAAAAATTGTACCTTGGATCGTTTGGTGTTGTTGGGGGGAGAGGGCGAAGAGAGAGAGCGCTTGGAAGAGGAGGAGCTGCTCCGTCTGGTTTCGACCATGGTGGTGTGGGTTCTGTCCTTTTCGGGGGAAGATGAGAAAACAGGCTATGACTAAGAATGATTGAGGCAGATCATGTAAATGTTGTCAAGGTTTGTGTGTTGCTGCTTTTATGCCATTCTCTTCTACCTGTAGGGATAATCAATCAATACAATAATAATAATATTATTATTATTAATTATTAATACATTCATAATTCATAATATTGCCCATTATAAAGTTTATTGGTCAACACTCTAATCAAATTATCTTATATGACTTTTCCTTATTTATCATAAACTCCATAATTTTCTACAAATAATAATTTTACAATATGTATTACTTTTATTCTTAATTATGAATGAAAATAATGTAATTCCTGATTAGTTGATAAAAGTAAATTCTGATAAATAATTATTAATTTACCTAAAGATGTTCTTCTTTTGTTATTGATTGACATGAAGGGGGTAGGAGGTTGTAATTTGTGAAAGGTGGAGTGGAGAGTAGGGAAAATCAAATAGAGGACATGATTCGTGATGTGGGACAAGAGTCTTTCCAACAAACACATTCACATGTGTATGATAATTTAAAAAGTGACTCAGAGACACCCTTGTTTCCTGATTGTACAACCTTCACACGATTATCAACGGTCTTAAGATTGATGAATTTGAAAGCAAAATATCGGTGGAGTGATAAAATTTTCACAAAATTGCTTGAGTTGTTGAAGTTAATGCTTCCAAAAGATAACACGTTGTTAGACCGTCATTATGAGGCGAAAAAGGTTTTGTGTCCAATGAGGGAAAGGAAAAGGGTATGGAGTGTGTGGAATTGGAAATGCCAAATTGGGATTAGTGATTAGGAATTGAGATAAGAAATTGTTATTTGGGAATGGCAAAAATGGAAATATTTGGGGATGAGTGAAAAGAAAAGAAAGTTATGGACACATTGACACACATGCATGATGTATGTCCCGCAGCCAACCAAGCGGTGCAGTTTCAGGATGAGTCTTGTCTCGCCGTCAAAGTCTAATCTCAATTTAATTTTAATCGTAACCCCCTCATCATCATTCATGAATAAGGCTAAATCAAATCTTTTAGATAAATCCGCTAAATACTAATATTTTCAGTTATTTTAAAACTTCCATGCACGTGTTTCTTCTGTTTATTTTCCTCCTAAATATTAGAATTGTCAAACACAAATGTTAATGAATGAAAATAAAATTTATTTTAAAAAATGGAAATAATATAGCTTTCCAAAAATAAAATAATAAAATTACACCAATTAAATCAAAGGTTATTAGAAAATAATTAGTTTTTTTAGAGATTAAATTGTATTTTTATTTAACTATTTTTTGGATAATTTACAATTTTAGTCTTTATATTTTTTTAATTATAAAATTTTGTTTTCTTCTATCAAATTAACATTTATTAATTATTAAATTTTAATGTTTACGTGTGTTTAAGAGATGTCAAATTTAATGACATGATATTTAGAGATAAAAAATTAAATAAATAATATTTATTAATAAAATAAGTATTAATAAATATTAATTACTCGTTAAAATAAATATAAATAATGTTATTTTTAAATTTTATTTTTATATGTCACATTATTAAATATCATGTCATTTAAGCAATAATAAGATTACGAATAATTTGAAATTTTCAATCAACAAATAAGAGACCAAATATTTTTATTTTAAAATAAGAAAACTAAAATTACAGATTGACAGAATTAGAGGAATTAAAAATGTAATCTAACAATTTTTATGCACATTCTATGATGATTTTAATTTTAGATTTTGTATAACACTTTTTTTATATTTAACTTTTTAATTGTAGTTTTGTCACCTATGTTTTATAATTTTGTAGACTTTCTCACTCAACTTTTAAATTTATACATTTTTTCGTTTAAGTTTCAAAATTTTGTAACTTTTATCATCTCATTAGTAGAATGTTTGATATGATAAGTTTATTGTTCATATAATATATTAATCATTAATTAGATTTGACTTTATGATGTGATATATGTGTCCTGTTAACAATCAAAATATCATGTCAATAGCACATTGATGATTTAATGAGTGACAAAATTTATAAAATTTTAAATATTAGGCTAAAAAATCATAAAGTATGAATAACAAAAAATATAATTTAATCTATACTTTTTGATAGAGGTCTATCCCAAGAACATGATCATGAAGAACTTGAAGAGGGCACATTGCACTTCAAAGGACCTATAACAAGGGTTAGGAGTCAAAAGCTAGAAGAACGTATTTCAAGAAGGTTTTTGGTGCTTCAAGAATCCCTATAAAGGATGGATGGAAGGATCATAAATTGGAGTTACCAAGTAGATTAGTTTGGCACCTTTGTGCTTGTAAATAATTTTGAGTTGATAGTGTGTGATGAATCAATGCAATAGGAATAGTTTTTGTTAGGAAAAATAGAGACAACATTAGAGACAAAAAATTGGTAATTAAATTTTAGTTAAGTGACCAACTTTTGCGACTATATGAACTTAGCTTTCTGTTTCATTAGAGTGTTATCCCGCTTAGCGAGAATTTTCCTCTATGGTTGTGGTTGTTTTAGTTGAGCGAGAATCTCGTGATTGAGCGAAAATGACGCAACTGCAACTATTCTTCGAATTTGATTTGTGCGCTAAACATTTGTTTTAGACTTTTAGTGAGCTAAAGTATGTCTAATACACTTCTAAAGTGGGTTAAGTATAAATAGACTTTGTCCACTCATTGTAAACACGTTTGGAAGTCATTGACTGATAATTTATCTCTTGAAGAAAATTTTCTCTTAGTTCTTTAACCTTTGTGGTGAATCTCCATTGACTCATCGATCCGCTTAGATTGTGGTGTCCATCCATTTTTTTCTCTATTCTATGTTCTTCCAATTTTGTTGCACATTATGAACTTTCATATGTATGGAATGATGATGTATTTGTCGAAAACGATCAAAATTCTCCTTTTCGTAGATCAAATCCTATCACTTTTTTATTCCATAACTCATACTATAATAAAGCTTAAAGTTAAATAGTTATGCATTGTTAGTATAAAAAAATAATAAATTATTAATTAATTAAAAATTATTGTTAATATAATTTTTAAAGTAATTATTGTAAAAAAAATTAAGAAATTTACTATACATAATGATTTATGATGAGAAGGCAATAATATATTTTTATTAACAACAAAACCTTATAAATATATGTAAGGACTTGTGATAATTTATTTACCATAATACTTTGGTTTACAAATTTGGAAAATAAGTAACCACAACAATAAATTTTGAAAAGTTCACAATAAAATATAATGTATATTTTTTCTATATTTAAGATTAAAATATTTAATAAAATGAACATTTATTTTCTAATTTGTTAAAACTCAACATGATTTCTATAGTTATTTACTTATTACTTTCAAAGAAATATAAAAGTTTAAAAACTCAAAGAAATAAATAATAATAATAATAATAATAATAATAATAATAATAATAATAATAATAATAATCAAGTAATAAGTACGAAGGAAATATAATTAAAAATACCATGCAATAAATGGCGCAAAAGTTATTTCACACATTTAGAAGAAAAAAAAACTAAAAAATAAATTTAAATAGTTCAAAGTATAATATAGTGTATATTTTTCTATATGTAGGATTAATATATTTAATAAAATGTACTTTCATTTTCTGGTTTGTTAAAAGTCAATATTTGATAGCTATTTTATTATTTTCAAAGAATATTAAAAGTTTGAAAGGTCAACAAAATGAAAAAAAAATAAAAAGGTAAATTTAATAAAAAGAAAAATAAAAAGTAATAAATAATAATGAAATATAATAAAAATACCGTGTGTGTGTGTGACTTGGTATTTTTCATCACGTGAAAATATCTACTCTATTATTAAAATCTTTTTACTTACACTTCTTCTTGAATTTTTTTTTAATTTTAAAAATAAAATTTATTTAAAATCTTAACTGAAATTATAATAAAAACGAAATATTTAGTTTTGTAACTAAATTCATAAGTAAAAATATAATAAAAATGGAATATATGGTATTTAACTAAATTCATAAATAATTAAAATAGAATTTAAAATAAATTAGAGATATAAATAATTTAAATTAGATTATTCTAACTAAAATTTGTTATTATCTATTTATCTTTACTTTAAAATTGTATTTTCATTATTTATTTATTGACTTCTTTTAGAGTTCTATCAATTTTTTAAACCTCATCTTCTAAAGCATCAATATTTCTCGAAAATAATAGAAGACATTATACCAAAATCTGGCTCAAAATTACACTATAATTTTTATAATATTGTAAATAGATAATTGGCATCAAAAAATCATACTCAAGGTGATTTTTTTAAATGCATATACATTTTTTTAATTTGTGTATTTTATAATTGTCATTCTCCATCAAAGTTTTTTTGGTTTGTTTGATTGAAAATTGTCTTTATTAGTTTTGTTGTTTTTATGCTCATCAAGAGAATTATTATGGTATTTTCTTGAGTTTTATGTCATAAAAGTCATGGAGTTCATACATGTCACAACTTGAATAAAATATGTGACACCCTCTACCCCACATACATAATACACAATAAATATAAAGTACATTCTAGAGTAAATAAAACTTTCTTAAAAATAAGGTTTCAAAATACATAGATAGAGAGTTCACATTCATATTTCATAAATCGTAGTCCAATACGGAAATGATGACAAAATAAAACATCAATCTTTCTTAATAACAGTAATGAAACTCCAATGCTAAACCTAACTAAGCTCCGATGTCACATATCCTATCAGAGCATGCCCAACTGAAGCCTAAGCCTCATCACCAACATCCTCATGCTGATGATCACCTGCAACACAATTTAAACACAGACAAATAACAACAAAGGAGTGAGAAACATCTCACTCAGGTTCAAGTGCAGAAATAAATGTTAGATAACACACACACAATAGACATAAGTCACAAGTACAAATCACATGTAAACATTACGCATACAAAATCAATATGACTTGCACACTCATTTATTATGGAATGATGTCATGGACTCGAATCATAAATGCATGCATGTGGCACCATACGGAAGTTTCACTTTT